TTCTCGCTTCACCTAAGTTCATGGATTTTTATGTTAACTTCTACTGAAATAATTTTATTTAAAGATTTGTTCTTCTTTGTAGTATATTTTACTTGGTAGTTGTCATCTTTAATCTTGTGAGTAATTGAACATACATGAAAATCTCTATTATTCTAATTATACGCACACGCACACCCCCCAGTTAATCATATGATCTGTTTATGCATGGGTTTCTATTCTTTGATTCATTTTGATAAGAAACTAGTCATAGTCAAATATGTTTTTTTTTTCTTTTTCTTTTTTGCAGTTTTATTATGAGTTATGCAAATAGTTTTTTTAAGCTTTATACTTTATAGTGAATCAGGAGATGGAAATGTTTGTATCCATTGGGAAAATATTAGAAATGAAGGGTTGAGTGTGAATCTTTTGCTTTACATTTTATCATCTTATAAGACAAACAGTTCACTAATATATTGTTGTTATTTAAAATTATTTTCGAAAAATTGTGCTAATCTGACTAAGCCAGTCATGTGGAAAAAAATAATTCTTTAGTAAATCATTTATCCCTTTAAGGTTTTATATGGATAACATTACAGAATTCCTTAGTTTTTTATGATAGAACTACTTAGTTATATTTATTAAACATGCATTCAGGAAACGAGAGATGTACCTATTGTCGAGGTGTCTTGATTTTCAAAACATCAGTCTATTAATATGTCACCGCATGTAAATACAATAGTTATATTTATGTCAAAATCATTGGAATTTGAATGTATTTTTTGGCTTTATTGTAGTTTCAATATGCATTAGCAATCTGCAGTTGATTTTGTTAAAGGAACATACATAAACTTTTAACATTAAAATAGTTGGAGTACGTACTTTGGGTGTTTTCTCAATAGAAACACGTTTGAAACTGAAAAGCAGGGAAAGTAAGCATGGAGTTGCTTCCAGAGGGTAGAAAGCAGTTGTAATAATTTTAATGCAAAAAAATTGATAGATCTTCCAAAACCTGAACTGTTAAACCATAGTCTAAAGCTATACAAAGCAGGTTCTAATTATATGGTAGTTTCTTCTTAAAATCACGTAAATATGAAGAATGTTGTAGAATGAAGAACTAAAATTTATGGAAACTTGGTCAGTTGCTTTAGAGAGTACTTCATAGAGGTTAGTAAGACATTTGTAACTCTAGCCTGCTAAAGTTTTGTTAGATAATTAGAGTAATTTCGTGTAGATTTTGAGCTTCACATAGATGTATAGTGACTAACAGGTACAAATGTTTTATTTTGTAAGAATAATTGCAGTGCGGAAAATTGTTAGGGACTTGAATACAAACCTCGCTAAGCAACTGGACCAATAAATTCTTTTTTTTTTACCTATGTGGTCTGTTGTTGGTTAACCTTCTATTATAACATCCTTTTTCCATACTGGTTGAAAGGAAAATAGAAGAAGAGACCAAATAGAAAGCTAGTTGTTCAATGTGCTTTGGAATGTTACAAAATTAAAAACATTTCTTAAAGAGATTGGATTTATCATAAATAATGATTGTGAGATGAATAAGCAACAATGAGAAACAAGGCTAAAGGAAGTATATATCTTGGGAAATTGAGGTGCATGTCAATTATCAATTGACACATAACATGAGGAAAATGTTTGTGAGGTGTTTTGTTGGACAAATGGGTGTGCTAATTAGAAGGGCAAGCTAGGATTATTAAAGTTAGTGCTACTAGGACATGAGGTAGGCGAAAGCTGAACTTGTGATGAGGCTGTTAAGTAGATATGTGCTGCTTGTTTTAATTGAGAAAATAGTTTTAGGTAGAGAGAGCTGAATGGAGAAACATGTTCATATAGTTGACACGAAAATGTAGGATGTGCCATTGCTATAACTTAGCATGCACTAAAATGAGAATACATTCTTAATACTTCATTTTATTTTTGAACAAGGTTAAGGAGCTAAAGGTTAATGCATTACAATGCAAGTCATACATTGTTAATTGTTGATGGGAGATTATCCCTTTGAATTTTTTTGGTGGAATTTAGTAGCTCTTAAATGCAGCTGTTTTTACCAGTTTTGGCCAAAGATATTAGATGTCAATAATAACCATATCTTGATTTTATTTTCAAAAATTTTAGTTTCAATAGTGACAGCTAATGATGTTCCTAAAATAATGCAAAGAATGTTCTAGATAACACTAACAACTAATTATCTATAAACTATTGAAGTCTAAAACAGATTTATTAAAATCATATATGTCAAATTGTAATGTACAAAATAATAGACCATCCCAATTACAATATGATTTTCATGGATAACTTCCAAAACAAAATAACTGATACTCAACGATAGATTTGGATATTAGAGTTGAGGTGTAGTTGCACTCCTATAATTTACAAATTGTATGTAAGCCCTTGTAATATTTGGAATATGCTACCCTCATAAATTTCCAAATTACATCCCTACCTATCTCAAAACACTAAATAAGTTAGTAGTAAATTGGATTAGCTTATTGAAAGTCATTGCTAAAATAACTAGTTATTGTTGCTACTTGAATCACATGGATTATCATTTAAACTCATCTATATGAGTTAAGAGTATCCGATGTGGGGATAAATTGATGGGACATCAAACTCTCAAAGCAAAGTATTGTACCTACACTTACTAGGTTTTTGTTGACTTATTGTAAATGCATGTACTCTTCAGTGACATTAACCAATTCTCTATCAAACTTATGATAAGGCTTGCAATGCCCTAGATTCATAACATATTTACTTAACTATATCAAGGTTTTAACTGTCGAATGTCGGGTTCATGTAGGACAACTAAAAATCATATCGGATAGAGAAAATTAGGGATATGTACCAAATATTGGATTGCCATATCGGAGGGATTTCTACTCAGTTTTGGTCACCAATATGAAATGCACTTGTCATAGCTTATCTTAGTTGAGTTGAGTATTCAACATCAAGACACAAGTTGTTTTCCATTTCTTGAAGGGATCAGTGGAATATTATGCTATTAAATAAACAAAATACACATTGTCAAACTAGAACTTTCAAAGTGCCTTACATAAAGTTAACAAAAAGTAAAGTGCCTTACATAAAATTGACATAAAGTGTTAGACTTTGGATTGATCTCAAGCTACGGTTCAAACTTATTGCTTACATTACGTTTTTATGAATTCACAATTTTAATTTGTAGAGACGAAGACGAATGAGAGGAGATCGGGGCGGAAAAGATAGCAACATTTTTTTGCGCTAATCTGTATTATATGCTATCAGGTTACTATGGGAACATAAAGGCTAAAAAAAAGAATTAATCGGATTTGGGTTTTAAGTACTAAATCCAAACCCCAATACTTATCAACTCAAAAAAAAGGTTAATGTTTCAAGGCTGAAAATTAGCCGATATGTCCGCAACATCCTCCGACATGTCCAACATAGACCTTGAAAACGATATCCTACTTGAAATGGCCATATTCGTTTCGCTTTATCCTCCAATCGGATATGTCAGCCAACATTTAAAACCACACACTATATAATCACTTAATGTTCCACAAAGCCACCGATGTAGGACTGAACTTTTGGGGCATCACAATCACCCCATCTTACATATGCAGCATTCTTGTCGTGACATAATAATTGGTCCATAGTATCACCACCAATCGATGTAGATTTTAGAGGTGGCTCCTATGAGTTCTAGAGGTGATTTCCATGGCACTCACGTGATATAGCACTTAGTCCCACACAACACCTAGTTCACACTTGACAGGCTAATCTCGCTGATATCATTTGTCATGCTCAAGCCCTTTGAGCCCCTTAGCGCAGTGTAAGCCGCAGGACCTACTGAGTGTAGTATGTGGTTTGGCTCAAACCATTGCCACACTTGGCTAACCAATGCTACACTTGAGACTTTGACTTCACTATATAAACACTTTTATTTTTCCACAACCCACCGGTGGGACTAAGCTTTTGGGCATCACACAGATCTTATGCGATTCATCTTTTGCTAAGTATTTACCCCTTGCAATTCACTTTTGTTAGATAACCTAACTGTTCCAAGTATACGTGCCTTTTAGTGATTGGTGTTAACCTTCTATTTTTTGGGACCAAATACATCTCTAATTGCACATGAATGGCCGATGTTATGAGCAATCCAGCTAGACAGTATGGCTGTGTCAAGATGATGTAAACTTTTACGAGAGAATGCCCAACAAACTTCATGCGTTTTGTGTTGGTTCTTGACCTGAACTGTACTATGCATGTGCCTTACCTGTAGTTATGACCATTCTTATTGAAGACGTTGCTCATTCTGTATAAAGAATTGACCGGAGTTATCAAATGAATTTTGTTTACACTTGGACAGTAATTTATATTTAATTGTACAAACCAAATGAAACTAGAGTTATTATTGACTTCAGAGGTTTTTCTATTGTTTTATGCACCATAGGTTCGTGGTCCATTTGTTGCACTACAGGAAAAATTATGGGTAGCCCCCTTCTCCTAATTTACATGGATTATGACAGCAGATTGTTCTGGTTTAGTTAATTTACTTATTTATTAGAAAATGTAAATATCAAATTCGGGTTAAACTATGCAAAGTCTTACCAGTAATTTGGGTATATATAGGTTCGTTTTTGCAAAAAATTACTTAAATCCATTTGAACTTCATTGAAAATTTTACTGTTACAATGTGTTAATATAGCAAGCAAGCATTTGGTAGACATATTTTAGTATTTTGGATCGGTGACCTCAGTTTAGTGTTGCAAACTTTATTGATAGATGGACTTTTGGCTTTAGTTTATATGTTATTTGTAAGT